AGTTTTAAAACAAAGCATTTCAGTTTCTGACTTAAAATTTCCAGTATTTCATTCTGGTTGACAATGAAAAGTAAAAAAAAAAAAATACGTTTGATAAATATAACGCAAAGCTTACTTTATAACCAAGAATTTAGATATTTGATTAAACTATCACTTAATTTATAATATGGTATTAATTTTCTGAATTATTTTGCAAAAATATCATTTTGTTTTTAGTAATATTTTTGCAAAACTTTTTTTTCATAAAATAAGTTGTATTCTTATTGACATTCATTACTCTTGGAAAATTTGTTTATAAACGTATGAATTCTTAAAAAGAATACATTGTAATTGCTTCATGATAAATTAGTTAAATTCAAGGTAAATTGAAACTTACCGCCCGATATTTGTTCCGTCCAGAAGCCAGTCGTCAGAATGACGTGATAAAAAAAATTGTTCGCTTGCTCATGGCAGCATATAATCAGCGGGCAATTTCAAAATCTAAACTGACAGCATCATCTTTGATTCGGCGGTGGTGAAAACGAATTAGGACCGCTGCAAGTTCCACCGAATTGTGGAGTTCTGAAGCGGGGATCGCCAACTCCCGCACTTTTTCTTCGCCAAACTAATCATTCGCCAAAGAGTCTCAGTCAAAAATGCGTGGACGCTCTATTTTCTACGAATGTATTATATATTACATATCTTGGTATTTTTTATTGTTCTCTATAAGTCAAGCGAAATGATCCTTCAAAAAATTTAATTCAAAATTTTTGAAAATGAAATAAGAGCAATAATTAGGAAAATACCATATTCGCCTGAATATTAGACGCGTGCTATATCAGCTGAAACAAAAGTAATTAGAGATATTGAAAGCTTGTATAATAAGACTACCTGTCACAAAAGCGTTGAAATGCTAAAGTATTTTACAAGAAAATCAATTAAATATTCCAAATACCACAATTCAAGGTGAAATTAACGAACTACGTTTGTTTATTATAAAAGCTAAAAATAGAAGAAAATAATTTTATTACAAGTTTTTTTTTTAAGTTTCAAATTTAACGTTTGCACAGTTTTCAAAGCAGCATTTTAAAAAATCAACATCATCCCTTATTCAGAACAGCAAGGTACAGAACATCATCAATCAACAGCATAAAAGCAGACATAAAAAAATTAAATTCTCCGTTCATTGGAAGAAACACACAAGGAGTTTTTAACTTGAAAAAATTCTCTTTATCTTAAAACTAATAAGTAATTTGGCTTATAAAAAACTCAAAGAAAGACCACTTATTTTACCCACTCATCAATGTTCCCTTTAAAAGAGGCTGCCCTGTATTATCAGGGTTAAACCTGTGAGAATTAATTGCACAATTCAAAAAGTCTTGCCAGGATAATAGTAATGAAAAAACGTTTTCTCACTCACATAGTTTAAATATCATCAAGTGACACTTTGTATTAGGTTTAAAAAAAAAAAAGCAATATCGAATGAAACTATCAATTGTGAACGCGATCAGATACAAGCCATGATTACTTAACGCAATAGCAAGCCTTAGAAGGTTCAAATCTGTTTGCTGCAATTTGTTTCCATTTCTGAGAGCTGAAAAATTTTTAGAAATGTCAAAATCTTTCCAGATGAATATCTATCCTGTATAAAAATATATGTACACGGACATATTTAAATCAGTGATATTAAATTGTCCTGATAATCAAACACTATGCAAAATAAAAACAACGAACTTTTAGTACTTTTATAGCGTTGAAAATGAAAATTTTGCTGTACTACCTACGGAAAATGTTGCTGAACCTGCTATTATACGATAATATGGTTTAATTTCCAGACGTCCTAGTTCCCTAAATAAAATCCATTCAAAACTTTGTTTATAAAAAGTTATTCTAAAAGTATACAACTGTAGGGCTACAAGCAGACATTGGTCTCGATTCTAAATTCGGAAAAAACCCAAAAGTTCTTCTCTTCGTAAAGTTATTACAACTCAATATATCCGCTCCATATCCAACGTAGTAGAAATTTGAGGTACTTCTGTGTTATAGAAACCACCTTAATAGAAGCCGCCAAACTTTCAGAATGTGCCAAACTCTGGCAGCAATGCTCATAACCATTCTTCAGGCAACCATGCTTATAACAATCCTTCAGGCAAGAAACGGCGCCATATTCTTATGCATTCTCTTTATTGTATTCCAAGTTCTAACTGTTCTTACAAGCAAACTGGTATTTTTGCTTTAATTTTAAAATTAAAATGGTGTGTGTGTGTGTGTGTGATTATGGCAAAGCCTCGAGGGCTATCTGCCTAAGAGGAGGGATGCCTTCGTGGAGGACTTTCTAAGGGAAACTGGCTCGTATACACGTTACACATGGGGAAAACCACGAAAACGCCCATGCAGCCAGCCCGTTCGCGGGATTCGAACCTCGGACCGAACTACCAGTGTTCAGCGACTTTACCGCTCGGCCGCTGGTGGGCCAAAATTAAAAATTAAAATGGAATTTGGTTTGAAATGAATAAATTAAATATGAATAAATGGTTAATGGAATTTGCCAGCAAAGGAAGAAATTTCTGCAGGCATATAGAATTTTGCCGCAAAATCTCTAAAAGGAACAACGAGAAGATGCGTTTGGTCGATGGTCAGTGCTTCTGGGGTTCGTGCGATGCCGAGTAAATTTCTAAAGTATGTTGAATTTTCACATGTTGATAATATCTGCCAACTTATAATAAATATGGATATTTCGAGAATCATTTTTTAAAAAATCGCGAAAGCACCAACTTGCACCCGATGATTACCTTTTACATTTTCATCTGTAAAAAAAACGCTAAACTGCGCCAAGATGGTTGCGTTAATACGTAAGTACCAAATTCCATCAGATCATACATTTAAAATTTGCAGGAAGAAAAGCATCTCACCCATTGTAAGTATTATAGAACAATTAATTTATATGGCGCGAAAACGGCTTTGTAACATTTAGGTTCGCAAATAAATCTGGAAATCTGAACAAAAGAGAGAGAAGAAATACTCTCATGAGCACATTCCTCTTCATCGCAGATTTCAGGGAAGAAAAGGCGTTTTCTATTATCCCTATTATTATTTTCTTAAATTATGTTGAATAGTTAACAAGTAATTATGAATAATTTAATAATGATAATTTATTAATTATGCACTATTACTTTACAATTATTACGCTCTAAAAAATCAGACATACTAGAAAGCATGATTTAGCAAATTAGAGGTTTAGAATACTGCAGGAAACTGTAAATCCGCCATGTTTTTTTCAGCTTATATATCAGTTATCAAAATACACTGAAGTGTTTGTAGTAGAAGGAAAGTAACATTAGTATGCTGCCTATATATCACTTAATGTGAATCTAATGAACACAAACATTCAGAAAACTTATAAAAGCTAACATTACATTTCGAATAGATGAAAAAAGCGGATTATGCCTCAATCATATGGTTTGATTATTAATGAAAAGCTCAAAGGACAAAGGTCGTACATATATTAAGAATTTTACACTTTAAAAATTAAAGAAATGAATGAACTACGATATTTAACAACAGCGTTATTTATAAACCTTTTATTATATATTTAATGAACTGGTCTAACGACATCTACCGTTTTTAATTTATTGTGTACATTACATGTAAGTCAGTTCTTGAATTATTCAACTTTTCTTTGGGCTGAAAAGGTTAGAACGCTGGTAGTTCGACCACGAATCAAGTCCAGAACCTAAAAAACTTCGTGGGTGACGATTCTAACGTGAATGCATCTCGTTCCCTCAAATTTCTTTTTTTCTCTTAAAAAGTCTTCATCAAGGCATTTGCTCCCTTAGACGGATTGCAGTCATGTTTTACCGCATGTGTGTAACAAGCAAACATTTCTTTATAATTATATTAATGTTAAGGATATCAAATATTTTTCTATACAAACATATTTGTGATAACATTATAAGGTATTTCTCGCGCTTTCTTGGCTTGCCTTCGTGGTGTGGTGGTCTGCACACTGGGCCGGTATTCCAGAGGTACCTGTTTCGATTTCTGGCGAAGGCGGTTGCTCATTTTTCATCTCTCCGGCTTTTCCAATTAACCTAATGTCTCTACAACATTTTTCACTCTCTTTAACAATTTGTTTAATTCTCATTATATAATTAACATACAGTTAGACTAACATTCGAAAATTTATTTTATTTCTTTTAAGATGGCTCAAAGAATGTGAAAAAGGGATCATGCATCCCTGTCTCTTTTTTGCAGCCCTGAACTTGGCTTTCAACGATTAAATGGCGAATTTGAAAATTTTTGTCTTATAAATATTATAGAAATTCTTTATTTCGATCAAATTACGATATAAGCCTATAGACATACTATTATTAAATGACAATAGGTAAAGATTAACTCATTTGCCATTATGTTATCATTACTTACTATTAGAAAATCTACGTTCTTCGATATTTCGTTTGCAGTGTTTTTCTAATACAATGTACAAGAAAGAAGTCGTGATATACAAGCTTAGGCAAGCAATTAATGAATAGGATATTCGATCTTTGACCTTTAGCAGAATTTCTCAAGATAATGAAAGCGGTAAGATGTGTTCATTATCTTTTGATAGCTATAATTCATTACTTCTACAAACCCTAAGGCTTACTTGCAGAAGCCTAAACGTCAAAAATGAGGAAACTCTTGATTTGTGACTTTTACCTATGAAGTGCACAGAATTTATTATCTGAATTCTAAAAAGAAGCTAATGGCTTTTTTTTATAAAAAAAAATTAAATAGTTATGAAAATCTATTTTTAGCAAGCTAGAATCCAAGAATTTGGATCTTATTCATACTATATTAGTGTATAGAAGCTTCTATATATAGATCAGTGTAACTGTTGAAAACAAAGTCTTTAATCTAATAAAGTTTCGAAAATAAAATCTTTTAATTTAATAATATCTCGAAGACAAAATCTTTTGGTCTAATAATACATCGAAAACAAAATCTTTTCATCTTTAGTCATAATAAGTAAGAAAACTAACCTTCATTCTTTCATTCCATCACCTATTATCCCCATATGTTGTAATGTTATATAAATTTGAAGAATTCGAAGATTTTACACCAGAGCTTAATTTGGGTGTAATTCAGAAAAAAATCCGAAAACAAGATAAACTAATCAAATGCAGTTATGATTTAAATTTGTTTTATTACTCATAAATTAAATAAAGAGATTTCGCGGAAAATATGATATTTAAAAACAAGAAATGTCTAATAGTTCAGCCATTTCCTTCCGAATATGTTTTGTCTAAACCAAACCAAACGATCCACATAGTGTTGCCACAGCATCAGTTAAATGCTTGTTGATCTGTAGATATTAAACCGATATTAAAAATTTAAGTTGGGAACTTATTTTGAGCACTAAAGATTTTGATACATGCTTTGTTCCGGCAAAAGTTCCCCGCGATCTTTTAATATCTAGAAAAATTTTTTCTTATTTTTAGAAAAGCATAAAATTGTACCCAAAGAAAAACCTTTTTTTCTTGTCAATATACTAAGTATAAGATCTTCCATATACTACCCACGTTCATATTACATCGAACGGCTTAGGTATACGAGCGTTTTTGTATTTTTCCCTGTTTACCAAGTAAATACGAGACAGATTCCCTTAAAAATTCTTCCACGAAGGGACTCCTCGTTTTAGGCAGATAGCCCTCGCGTGATTTACTATAATCAAACCAATCAATCTTTTGTCTATCAAATTATAACCGAAACGATGTTTCATCAAAATAATTCTATTTTAAAATAATGCATGGTATTTCATTGTTAAAACAGCCATCGCATATGTCTTTGGTAGCATTTGAAAACTTATCATTATAAACCGAGTGATTAAGTTTGCCAGTTTTAGTGACTAAATGCAGTAGCAGTTTTAACGAACGCCAATATATAATTCAATAGTGTTTACATAATGATTAATTACATAAACACAATTATGATCTTCAATATCAACAAGCTTATTATGAAACTGCGGGTTTTTTGTAGATAACAGAAGCAATTAGGTACGCAATCCACAAAATAATTTCAATTTTTAAAAACCACAAGAGTTTAGTTGAATTCCTTTAAAATAAAATTTTATGAAAGACCTACTTAGCGCATCAGAAGTTACCAAACCTATGGAGGATTCAATGCTGATTTTGTTCCATGTTTCATTTTCACATCCTCTTGTAAACTCATTACTAAAAATACAGGCCTAGATCTTTAATTCAGTACAACCTTTATTAGCCGGATGTTTTTTGTGTGTGTGTATGCATATACATATATATAAATTACAAAGATAAATTAACTACTTCCAAAGACCAAGGAAGAATTTTGTAATCATTAAAATGCATGAAAAATATAATGAAAAAATATAAAACCAATAAACTTTCATAAAATAATTCTGTTAAACCGAAGAGAAAGAAGGCATGTTTTTTAAAGATTTTTGAAAAAGTAAGCCTTAGGCCGAAATTGGAAAGAAATCGTAGCTAAAACATCAAAATAACTAAAAAAAGCAGCGAATTAAAAATGTCTCTATCTTACTACGTCAGAGGGGAAGGACAAATCCGAACGTTTTGTAAGACACCTTTATGAAATTGAAAAAACGTTTCAGTGTTCTTCGAGTGCTCCAAACATTTATCACAAAATTAATAAAAGACCTTTTGTACCATTCACAAAACCCATCCCCTATCAGTTTTTGGTTTTCATTAAAAAGGAAACAGAACTAATTCAGTAAAGAAAACAGAACTAATTCAGTAAGTAAAACATAAACATTATATGGAAAATAATGCTAAAATTCAAATCGTAATTGAAAACAAAAAAACGGTGAATAAAACGCGAAATAAAAATAAAACATTTTTTTGCACGATAATCATAATTATTAGTTATAAGCAATTTGCATCAAAAATCCTGCAATAAAAAAACCTAAGTGGATTTTAAAAAAATATCTAATGTGGACACCACATGACTTCCTTGTACGTTCTATTAAATTATACACATTTCTTTTCTGCATTTCATTAAAATTTATTTCCTTGAATTTCATTAGAGATATATTTCTCATTCAGTTAATTTAATTCTTACTTCGGAGCAAGACAAAAATGCATAAAAACTCAAAATATCTTCATTAAAATTTTTTTAAAACATTTACAATTAAAATTATAGTTTCTATGCAAGAGCAAGCAATTTCGATAGAGGCAAGAAAATAGATTTTTCGGTGCACAAAACTGAAAGTTTACTTTTGGTCCCACTCAGCGAAAAGATACTAAAGTTGGAGCACAAACTGACTTAATTCACTCTTCCACTAAGAGTTTCAAATGGAAATAAATATGGTAACCTCGTTAGGCTTAGCACCACTTTAACTTTTTTAAGTTGTTGATAGTTCTACAACTATTTCATGCAGATTAACTAAAGGCATAAAAACCTTAACCGGACCTTAAGAATAACACAATTCAATTACTTTTAAAGCAAAAAATGCACAATTTACAAAAGATAACAATAAAAAGCTGAGCTCACCGAGCCGGGTAACAGAGTAAACATGTAAATGCAAAAATATTTTATTAAAACGGTGATTTGCAAATGCTGTAAGAGTCGACAATCTTCCACGGCGGCACACAGATGAGGCTTGTGTCCCACTGGTCTGATCCTGCTCCATTTCCTGCACGGCTGACACCATAAAACAACCCCAAACGCTACTTGGTCATGTAGCCTATGGAATTGTATTCGCTGTAGTTCCAATGCGTGCAAGCATGAGAACAGCTATTATTTGTAGTAGGTAGAAGATGTGTGTAACTACCACTCACCTTACTAATTCAGAAGTCAAACAACAAAAATCAGCGTTATATTTAAAAATTTTTCACAGGACTAGTTTCGATGGTTTTACCGAACCATCATCTTCAGCTGCAAAACCGCAAATGAACAAGATAGGAAATAATGTTTAGATAAGATAAGAAAGCCTGGACAAGAATAAGCAAGTGGCGCCATCTGTTGGCGAAACCAGAACTAAAACATAATTTCTCTAAAAGCCGAAGGCAAATTTGGATTGGAATTAGGATCGTTAACTAGAACAGAAAGATTTTTATGAATGTGAAATGCCTCTAGAAAATCCAGTTCTCCAATGGAAGATGTTTTTTGAATAATTTTGGCAGCAGAAAAATTGAAAGTGTGATTTTCGGACCAACAATGCTGAGCAACAGAAGACTTCTGTGTTTCCTTTTTTCTAACATATGCCTCATGTTTTTGACACGAAATTTTAAGGCTCTCTTAGTTTGGCCAATGTAAATTAAACCACACTGGCAAGGAATCCTATAAATACCCCAGGAATTGATATCCGGAATGGGGTCCTTGAGTATAGAAGTTGGAATTTTATTGATGGGAGAGTAAACAACCCGAAAGTTAAATTTCTGCAAAATATGTGCAACTTTATAGCTAATTGATGGAAAGAAGGGAATGACAACAGAATTTTTATAATCTCCTAAAATAAGAGTGTGGCTTTTAGTGTGTTGAGATAAGAATTTTTTAACTGCTTGATTAATAATGTTGGGTGAAAAGCCCCTGTCAATAGCTATTGCTTTTAAATAATTTAGTTCTTCATCAAGGGCTAGTTTGGAGGAGCAAACTTGAAGAGCACGGAAAACATAGGAATAGAATGAAGCTAACTTTTGTTTAGTCGGATGACATGATTTAAAGTGTGGTGGAAGGCAAACCGATGAAGGTTTACGGTAAACTGTAGTACTGAAGTTGGATATGTTACGTGTGACCAGAATGTCGAGAAACGGAAGAGAATTGCAAGTCTCAAGTTCAAAAGTGAACTGAATAGCAGGATCAATAGAATTCATTGTTGAAAGAACTTTATTCAAATCATCTTTATTACCTTCAAACAGGGTAAAAGTATCGTCTACGTAGCGGAACCATGCCGGGAATTTTAAAGTTTCAAACAATTTTGATTCATAATAATGCATGTAGATATCAGCCAGGATGGGACTGAGGGGGCTTCCCATGGCTAATCCCTCAGTTTGCTTGTAATATTTATTTTGGAAAACAAAATGTGTTTGTTTCAAGCAGAGTTGAGTGAGAGAAATTAGCTCATCAATTTCGATGCAAGAGAAATGAAATTCACGAAGTCTGGTTTCTAGACATCTTAATGCACCCTCCACTGGGACTCAACACAACTTCTTATCTCAACACACTAAAAGCCACACTCTTATTTTAGGAGATTATAAAAATTCTGTTGTCATTCCCTTCTTTCCATCAATTAGCTATAAAGTTGCACATATTTTGCAGAAATTTAACTTTCGGGTTGTTTACTCTCCCATCAATAAAATTCCAACTTCTATACTCAAGGACCCCATTCCGGATATGAATTCCTGGGGTATTTATAGGATTCCTTGCCAGTGTGGTTTAATTTACATTGGCCAAACTAAGAGAGCCTTAAAATTTCGTGTCAAAGAACATGAGGCATATGTTAGAAAAAAGGAAACACAGAAGTCTTCTGTTGCTCAGCATTGTTGGTCCGAAAATCACACTTTCAATTTTTCTGCTGCCAAAATTATTCAAAAAACATCTTCCATTGGAGAACTGGATTTTCTAGAGGCATTTCACATTCATAAAAATCTTTCTGTTCTAGTTAACGATCCTAATTCCAATCCAAATTTGCCTTCGGCTTTTAGAGAAATTATGTTTTAGTTCTGGTTTCGCCAACAGATGGCGCCACTTGCTTATTCTTGTCCAGGCTTTCTTATCTTATCTAAACATTATTTCCTATCTTGTTCATTTGCGGTTTTGCAGCTGAAGATGATGGTTCGGTAAAACCATCGAAACTAGTCCTGTGAAAATTTCTTAAATATAACGCTGATTTTTGTTGTTTGACTTCTGAATTAGTATTTATTCGGCGTGTTATTGTGTCTTAATTACCACTCACCTTTTTAGCATAAAATACAAGAAATGAACTGCAAAAGTAAAGAGCATATAACTATTGCTGAAGGCATTTTAAGCAACCCTCTATTTTGAGTACTTTTGACTGTAGTGTTTGATATTCTTTCTCTGAGCAGTTTACTTAGTTTTTATTACAACTTCGTAATGTAGGATTGTTTTTAATCTAGCAACGCATATATCTAAGTTGTTACTTGTACTTTTGAGAACAGAGATAAGCATTTGTGATTTATGAAAATTTGGTTGTTCATTTACCTGAGTTTGA